AAAAAAAAAAGTTGCAATTCCTATGGTTAGTAGCAAAGTGTAGAGCTAGAGAAAATACTGGAGAACAGAAACTCTCTATAAATTCTAGAATTTAAATTATAGCTGAGTTAAACCAAACCAGAAGTATTCATTGTTGAATTTAAGTATCAACATGTGTCCTTTCAGTTTTCTTTTTTTAACTTTTTGCATACTGTGTTTTTTTCTACCTATCTACTTACTTTTCTACCTTCTCTTTACAATGCTTCAGATTGTCAGGAAAATGGGTGTTCAGTTTTTTTAGTAAGCTTACTAAGTGTGTTATGTTTGTGGATATTTGGAAGTGATTTTTTTTGTGGCTAGTTCCTTTAGCTACTGTATTTTAATTTTTTAAATCTAAGTTCTTTTGACACTATTTACATGCATTTGCTTTTCTAGGTTATAAGTTCATAGTATCTTTCTAAAAAAAAAATAAATTGAAATTTTAATAATAAAACAAGCTTTATTTTCTTCTGAGATAAATATTTGGTTCAGAATATTAATATGTTACTTTTGTGTGTCCTTTTACATAGAATTTTCTGAATTGATTTGGACTTGATGTCTTTTTCACAGCAGTCTGTCTTTGTAGTGAATACATTATTTTATGGTATATAATTGCTTCTACTACCATATTGTTCCTGTGGGGGGAACTGGAATTTGAAATGAATTTTGGTTTTTCTTTTTAAAGACCCTAAATCCTTTGTGATACAGTGGTAATGACCACTTAAGTAGGTGATGCCTTAAAGCATGTTTTTATCTGGATGAGTGGCTTCTTAAGATAGATTCATGAAAGGCTGCAGAATAAACTGGATTTACATTATTTGCATTAGTATACTTGGCTTGCCTGTTTGCTTTACAGAATTTAATTCCAAGAAATTTTACTGAGGTTCCAGTCCAAATGCTGTGTTTAGATATGAGTATACCATTTGAGAGGCATTTTTGCACATACGTGTAATGTCTCAGCAAACACTGCTTAGTCTGGATCAGTTAAATTTAAAAAAGTTTGAAATAAGAAAATTTTAACTATTCCTTGATTAATGTAATAACAAATTTTTTTTCACTTTTCTTTTAGGGTATAGATACAGAATGTTTTAAGGAGGACTAGAATAACTTAGAAATTTGAGTTGTCTTTTCTTCTTCTGGCCTTCCTCTTAGTTGGCAAGAACCCTCAGCCCTATATTTAGTCCTGATAAAAGCTTCTGTCTCAGATTTTGAGCTTTGGCTTGTATTGAGAGTTTAAAAATATGTATGGTTTAACATCCAGAAAAACACAGTTGTCCTTCCTTTTCTTTTATGTGTGTGTTATTAATTAAAACAAAACTTCAAAACATTGATGTACACAAAGATACACAACACATCGTATCTACATTCAATTTGTAGTCAGTAACTAAATAAAAGATAACTGGAAACAGAAAGTACAGCTGACTGAATTTTATCTGTAATAGTAGAGATGACAATGATAACTCTCTTAAGTTCACCCTGACTAATAGCCCAACCTGGTTCTTAAGAGAGTTGCTCAGATTCTACTACAGTGGGGCACAGAAGAGAATGAAGAGTAGGGAAATCTCTTATTTGGTATGACTGAACATCACTGTCCTACAGCACTGTGGTGTTTCAGGGCTATGGGGTGTATGTGTTTTGTTTTTTGCTTGGACCATGCTCTTACCATCTGGCATTTTTGTGGAGGATTACCTGTCGTGATCCTTCCCTTCTCTGTGCAAGAGTACCACCTTATACATCTGTATTGGGGCTAAAGACTTCTCAAGCATTTGGACGTAATGTGTATAGCAATATTATTGCACCATTACCGTAGATCTAAAGTTTTCTCAGAAGTTCTAAGAGTTGCAGCAGATGCGTGGTATAACTATTCAGGGCCGACAGAGTGGAATATGGTTGGCATAAAAATGACAGTAGCTCTCTGCACCAAGTTGGCAATGTGAAAGTGTGCTTTTCAGAAAAAAAACTGCTAACTGGTTTATGGGAATCATAAAGGAACCCTCATACACACAGAGTTAGCTTGGTAATTGCACTAGCAAATAGTGATTGATTTTTGAGGATTAACATTCATGAAACAGTCAAGTCATCCCTAATAAACCAAGGAATGGAACTGGGTGACAGCATCAGGAGAGTCTCCTTTTTTGGGGAGGTCTGTACTGAAATGAAGGAGAATGACTGACTGATGACAGTGTGAGCAGTGGAGGGGGGCGCCTAGTGCAATGTATTCCATTTAAAAAGCATGTGTTGGGAGGGGGCAGCGTTGTAAGCCCAGGGGGAAGCTGCAGAGGCTGAAGAGTCAGTAAATCACCAAAGGTGTTCTCCCTCTGTCCTGAGATCCTTGTTCCCTGCCACTCGCATTCTCCTGACCTCAAAAAACCCCCAAACAAATGTAATATAACTTTGCTGTGGCATATTAAGATTTTTCTGAGACATTTCTGTTAGGCCTTTGTCTTTTAGAATTTAGCATTTTAGAAAAGTGGTTTGCTTTGTGGTATGTAGGTTATTGTATGAACCAATTAATAATCTAAAGTTTGTGCTGAACTTTTACGTTAGATCCTATTGTATAGCTTGTAGATTCTCAAAGCAGTTGATGTATGTGTATCTGGTTTAGGGTACTTAGTTGTGATTAACTCCTTTAAAGTAAGGAATATAATCTGGAAAAAAACCCCAAGTTATACTTTGCTTAGGGTATATTACATCATATTAGTGTTCAAGATATTCTGAGCAAGCATGTAGGTTTCATTACACTTTACAGCTCCTTCTGAAACACAAATACCTGTTAGAGCAAAATTTTCAGAAGCGGAACTGTGATGTTCATGCATATTCTCCAGAATCTGCTAAGAGCAGAGCTTAGTCTTGCAGTCAAACCAAATCTCTGCACAGTATATTCAAATTAGTGCCTGCTTATCATTGCCTAGCTCTGGCCTGTCTGTAGATGGGTGTTAAACTCTTTGTTTCCCTTTAAAATAAATTTTTAAAATTCCTGAAGTAATGGGGAGGAGATACTAGATAATATCAAACTATCATTGTTGATACCTATAGAGAATGATCCTTTCAATTAATATTTGACTGAGTGGATAGGAGATAAGAATTAGGAAAGGAAGGTTTTGGATAAGAGTAGAAATCCTGGGTCCTTGAAAAAGCATGACTTTTGGTTTGGGTTATTGCATGTCTGAAACCCTTTGTTCAGATGACCCAAATTTGAATCACTGCTTCTTAACTCAGGTCAGGTTGACACATCAGTTTCTGGAAAATTGAGTGTACTTGTGGACTTTGTAATGGTTCAAAAAGTTAACTCCTAAACTTACCTTAGAATTGGTCCATTTTCATTAGAAACACGAGTGTAGTAATAGGAATTTGAGGTAAATTATTTTAACATTGTACTTTAACAGATTTAAACTGTTTTTTCTTCACTGTTATTCAGAAAATCCATAAGAGATTTTTGTTGCAGTTCATAATAATTCATACAGCGCACTATGCAAATAGATAAAACTTCATCTTCCTCAAAGCTTGCATATTTTGTTGTCTTCTGGCATTTGCAACTGAAAAGTAAGTGCTATATAAATGTCTTGGCTGTTTTAGTAGAAATATGGAAACCTTTTAGACTGGCTTTACAAAACTTTATGTAATGATGAAGAAATATTTTGCTGTAGGCCTAAATTCAGCAAGCATCACAGTCAGGGAAGAAAAAATGTATGTGTATGCTCAATTTTGAGGCATGAGTTTGTGTGCTCTTTAGTGGAAATAAATTTAGATGCTATTATAAACTCTTTTCTATAAAGAACTGAAAAACAAACCAGGCATGTTTTGAACAGATGAATAGCTTCTAAATTTGATCCATATATATTTTGTTGAAGAAACTTTATACAGGCAAAAGGCTGTTTTACTATCTGGTGCGAGTATAAATAACAGTAGAATATTATTTACTTTTTCCTAATTTTGCTTTTATTTTTCTATTTTCTTATACTAACATTCTGCTATCACAACTTTTTTTTTTTTTTTTTAATTATGAAAACCATTATATACCAGTGTAGTTTCTTAATGCTGTGCATGCAGTTTCCTTGCCCATCTAATTACGTTCCGTGAACCTATTTTGACTTGTTGGCCAGTACGAATAATACTGACAAAATTTAATGGAAAATTAATGGGCCTAGAGATAAAATTTCTAAAAGCCTTTTGAAGAGTTTGCGGGTATAGGAGAAGGGCCAAAATTCTTGGGAATCGGTGAGGCTTGAGTAGTAAACCTGCATTGGGAGCTCAAGGGTGTGTTACATTTTTCCCTTCCTGTGAGGCAACAGGATTCCTGCATGTGTCTTGGCCAACTCCATCTTGTGTGTCTTCTTTACTTGATGATACTTAAGGAAGTTGGCTGATTGGGATAGTTCAGATGGCAGGGAATCCTAGTGTGATGATGGGAAGTAAAGACATAAGGGGCAGTTGGGCTTGTTGGAGTTGATTTTGGTGTGGTGTTGAGACTATAAAATCTTAAATATTCAAGTTCTTAGGTTCTGAAGCCTTAGTCAGTTCCACCAATGATGGAACAACATTTCCAGTTTGACAAAACAAACTGCACAAAAATAATATTTTCAGAAAAGCATTAAAGTAATCCTTTTTCATTTTAAGCAGTAAAATAACAATACCCTATTTAAATAGAATATAAAGACTTGCAACCATAGATCTGAGATTAATCCATTGACCTCAAGGAAGTAAAAATTTCAACTAAAGCTGACATTATTTTTATGTGTGTGTGTTTTTTTTCCCCACAAAATGAAGTTTTATGCACTTCAGTTTGCTGAAATTCTTAACAAGTCAGTTTATGGAACTCCTGCTGTTGCCATTTACTTTAGTATTTGAACACTTCTACGTTTATTTGAAAGAATGGGTTCTTCTAAACAGTTCCTTTGTTAGTTTTTTTTGTGTGACATAACTGTCTCTTTTATCTTATTTCTTCTTTCTTATCAAAATGCTAGACATATACAAGCACTAGCAACAACTCCATGTCAGGCTCCTTGAAGCGGTTGGAAGATACCACAGCTCGATTTACAAATGCAAATTTCCAGGAAGTTTCTACACATGTTTCAAGTGGAAAAGAGTCTTCAGAGGCTAGAGGGTCAGAGAGCAAAGGGAAGAAATCTGCAGGTCACAGCTCAGGTCAGAGGGGAAGAAAGCCTGGTGCTGGAAGAAATCCAGGAACAACTGTGACTGCAGCTAGCCCTTTTCAGCAAGGTATTAATTGTTACGCTGTGACATGACTTCTGCTTTGACATGAATTAGAAAATTTACGTATTTAAAACTTGAAAAGTAGTTCATCCTTTATCCTCAATAATGAGAATGTTGTTTTACTTTGGAGAAAAAACTTTTTTCAGGGGAAAAGTTCATTGTCATAACATGAAAAAGAAGGTTGTGCATCTTTAAAGAGCAAAACTGTTGCTTTTGTTTAGACTGTTAAGCTAGTCTCTTTCACTGCTGAAACCATAAATTTTTTCATGTGCTGAAAAGTTGCTGTGAAATAACATGAATTTGAGTCTAGGGGTCTTTCTTAGCTCTTAAAAGGAATAATCCTAATGTGTTTTAGTTCGTACATACTAGAATAAAACTGGAATACCTGATGTATAGGATACAGTGGGCCTTAATTTTTTTAAGATACAGACATTTAAAATATATTCTTTTCTTCAAAGTGGAAGATTTTTTTTTTTTCTGTCATTGGAATACATAAGCATAAGATGGTTACGTGACAAGTATATACAGTTTATTTACCTTATGTAATACAAAAAGTCTGTTTTGAACATGTTAAAACCTACTAAATGCACTGTTGATACATCTAAAAAAGCAAATTTTACTATGGCATTGTTGTCAGAGGTAAAGATTTAAAAAAAAAGTCTTTTTTTAGTTACTGAACTAATAAAACATGTTATTTTGAAACACAACAAACTAGATTTTATAGAAATTAATTATTTTCCCATGATTTTTACCCTTGCATGTAAGTAGCTGACTGTCCTTTCTGCTTTATGATGTTGCTCTTCCTTTTTAAATTTGTCTAGAACTCTTTCAATATTTCAAGCTTTTTTACTTGAACAAAACTGCAGTGTTTTTTTGCTTAAATTCTCAAAACTTTGAAAATTGCGTTCTGCAATTCTGCATTTAAGGAAAAATCTTGCTCATGGCAGATGATAAAATAGATCTTTACTATGTGCATGCATTTTCTTTTAAGCTGCATTAAGTGAAGTTGATTTAACTTATTTAAAATACAAACCAACAATGTTTTTATAATTTTTAAATTGCTGTATTAATATAAATTGTATTTTATATTGAATTATCAATAACGTTTAATTGCATACTAATGACAAAACACTAATTTTTATAGGACTTTTTTATACCTAATGTCATATTTAAGGGTATTTTCTTGACAAGATAGTCATCATTAGTCTGAATTATACAAAACAGTACCCACATGCACCCACCCATATAAAATTACTGAATTTCAGTGAAAGTAGATGTTTGTATTTCCCAAGTGTGCTCTATTTTCTGCCTTGCATGGGCTAACACAGTGATGAAATGACTGCATTGCAAATATTATAGAAGCAATGTAATTCTATTATACAAAAGATCTTTATGGTTCTCTGACAGCGTTGAAGAAGTCTTAAAATGCCAGTTTTGTACATTTCTATCTACTTCCTCTCCTGTCCTTTTGAAAAATACCTCTTCTGTGGAACACCTCCTCAGCCAGGGTAAATTAAGTGCAATTGCTGTTCCCTTGACCTGTGTCAGACTGTGATTTAGGTAGAATGGTAAGGAAGATTGCAGGCAGAGCGTAGATGTGATCATAGCACGTTTCTATCAGCCTTCTTTTTATATATATGTATGTTTAAAAAAACCTGCTCTGACTTGCACCAAGTGTGTGCTGTGGCTTCAAAACACTAGGGATGTCAAAGTTACCTAAGCAGCAAAGTGGTTATTCTCCTTTTATTAATTTTCACCTTGTTTGTGCCTCAAATTTAAATCTGAATCTCGGATAGGAATCTGAGAAACAGATCCAGCAGAGTGAAGATCAGCAGGAGAAGCAATGAATTATCTTAAAAATAAATTCTTTAGCCCATGGTAACACTTTTAATAAAGTCCTTACACTGTAAAGTTTTGTATTCTAAGGTATTACTCTTTCTCAGCAATTTTCTTCAATGACTGGGAAAAAGAAAATTGTACTTTTTTTTTTTTTTCCCCCCTCTTGTTTTAGGAAGCTTTTTGGGCACTCCGGGGAGTATAAAGTCATCTTCTGGAAGTTCAGTTCAGTCTCCCCAGGATTTCTTGAGTTTTACAGACACAGACCTTCGAAGTGACAGTTTCACGCATTCTCAACAGGCTTCATCAACCAAAGATGTACATAAAGGAGAGGCTGGGAGTCAAGAGGGGGGTGTCAATTGTTTCACTTCCTTAATTGGTCTCCCTTCATCATCAGCTGTTTCCCAGTCTAAAAACTTTGACAGCTCACCTGGAGACATAGGTAATTCAAGCCTTACTTCTACAGCATACAAACGAGCTCAGACTTCTGGAATAGAAGAAGAAACTGTAACAGAAAAGAAACGGAAAGGAAATAAGCAAAGTAAACATGGGCCTGGTAGACCCAAAGGAAATAAAAGTCAAGAAAGTGTTTCCCATCTTTCAGTTTCTTCTGCTTCCCCAACTTCATCTGTGGCATCAGCTGCAGGAAGTGTGACAAGCTCTGGTCTTCAAAAATCTCCAACTTTGCTCAGGAATGGAAGTTTACAAAGTCTTAGTGTTGGCTCATCTCCAGTGGGTTCAGGTAGGCCTTTACTGGATTTGTTTTCTTACCTCAAAATATGTCATTATTATTTTAGCCGTAATTCTGAGTATGCTTTTCAAGAACAGAGTATCATTTAAAGTATCCTGAATGTTTCTTTGGGGGAAAAAAAGCGCAAAAATTAGAATATGACTGTTGGAAGAGTAAGTTCCATGTATAGGTGCCACTGTGCTGTAGGTGGCTGAAGAAGATTGACCTGTGTATTGACCTGTAGGCTACATAAATGCAGGTTTTGAGTCCGTAGGGTGGAGAGTAAGTTGCATGAAGATAGGTTATTTGGAAATTACATGTCACAGGTGTAGCTAAAATAAGTGATTATGCAGACTATGTTGTCTGTACATTCTGTTATGTCGAGAGAATCAGGACTCAAGCATGTCAGCTGTGCTGAGTATGTCCTTCCAACTACTTCTTTCCAATTCAGCTTAACTAAAAATCAGAAGAGAATTATCAGTTTAAATACGTACAAAGATATTCTGAATCTGGACCCCTGTGCAGCCAGATGACACTTTCATATTGTGAAATTGGCTGGTTTGTTCTTCCTCTGTTCTAAATGTTACGTGCATCTGGGGCTGTGAGAGGCTTTCTGTTCCCATTAAACCTGTGTGTGGAATGACCTTGTAGAATACTGTATCTACCAAAGTGTTTGTTGCTTCGGAGGCATTTGTGTTTGGATAAAAATATAGCAAACTATCTGATACTTTGGTTTTGTAACTTTGAAATTTTGTCCTTTTTGTTGCTCTGGTAGATTTTTTGCTTATTTTTTCTCTTTTTTTGGGGAAAGAGAAATGAAACTTGAATATTTAGTTGTGGGCAGGGTTTTACGCTTTTATATTGTATATTTTCACTCTATAAGCAAGAGATATTTTAAAACACATACATGCTTCAAGAAACAAAAATGTTTTAGAACAAGGCAGGTACTTAACTTGATCTCAAAACCATATTGTTCTGAATCTTTGTTAGATGCAGGCAAATGATGTTTTTTATTACAGGTAATAATGGCAATAGCAGTGGCAACCGTAATAAGAAAAATATTTTTCCTACATTGAAATCAATAGGGAGAAACTGTGACAAACTTCCTAGTTCACTGTCCATCTTTTTTGATTAAAATGCAGTTTTAAAAACATGTTAACCTTGTATCCGTTATGGACAGAGATCATCCAATAGCTTTAGATGTGTTCTGATTATTTTAGTACAGACTTCCTTATTCCTTTATAATCTCTTTGAGGTGGAATATGTATTGTTGTAGTTGGGGTAACAGATGGAAGTACAAGATCTTGGTTTGAAGTGAAGGACCCATGTTTCCCCCCTAACATATTTATTTTATATTCTGGTCTTGCAGCTCCCAGAACAGGCTTTTCCCTGGCCAGGTCCGTCCTTGCTTCCTTTGTCCTCTTTATTATATCTCACTCTTCCATCTATAAAATGCCAGTGATAATGTTAGACTCCCTTTGTAAATAGCTTTGAAATACATGGATGGAAATACTGGGTAGGTTTTATTACCTTTTTCCTGATACTCAGCCTATAATTTCACCTCTATTAAACATACTTAGATTCTTGCTAGCCAGCTTGAGACCTGTCCACTATAACAGTGGTATTTTCTGAAGGTGCCAAAGAATATGAATGCAAACCAAACAAACAGAATCCATAAACAACATCACCTGAACAAAACCCAGAAAACCCAAAGAAACAAAACTAAATGTGATGTCTGTCTTTGAGCAAGAGCTCTGAATTTATCCAGAAACTTCTGCTTGAGTCCGAGCATATTGTTTTAATGTACTCTTCTCCCTGATTTCCCCTTTTCCTTACGGTTGTAGTGCTTCTTTCCTCACTTCATCATAAGCTTTTTCTGGGTTTAGCAGTCCATTTACGACTTTGTTACAATGAGGAAGGGCATATGAGTATTATGAGTATTATCAAAAACATACATTTTCTCAGGTATGATATGGTGAAGTTTCTCTTTGGAATGTCTCTGTATTGTCCAGTAACAAAATCTGACAAGTGAATCTAAACAGTTTGATCCAAAACCCCAAATAAGATTTTGTGTATGTATATGTATTGAGAGAAAATGCAAGGGAGGTCAAGCCAAAAAGTTTTTGCGGACTCTTACTTGGAATTGCCTTGCTCCTTCAAAGAAGCAGAATCAGAAATGAGTTAGACCACACTAAACAAAGATTTTGAGACCTTTTCCAAGGATCTCCTCTGTGGGTTTTTTTCTTCTTTTAAAAACAACCTTCCTAACTGCAGCTATCTTAAGCTACCATTCTTTTTTTGTTTTCTTAAGAGTACTTGTTGAGATCCATAAAAATTATGAAAATCATTACTTCGCAGACATACGATTATCCTGTTCACAGTTAATGTTCAAGTTGGATTAAATGTGAAGGAAAGCTTATTTTAAAAGGTAATGCAGATTCATCATGTGCTGTTTAGACATAATTAAATGTCTTCCGTAAAACTTTTATTCAGAATAAGTACATTCAACTCATTTTGTGAAAATGTTTTTGCTCTCCAAAATTTTTGTCAAGTCCACAGAACTTCTGTTTTCCTGCTTAATAAGAACAGAGATGTACCATGAATACTACAAGGCCACATAATTAAAAGGTGTTACATACATAAACTCAAGTTGTATTACAGTTGCCACGCAACTGATCTGATGCATTCAAAATTTTGAGTGTTTAAATGTTCAATCTTAATGTTATTTTTAATTTTTTTCTGAAATGTATTTATACTCTGATAGGAAATTCTATATGCATTACTTTAACCGTGTAGTCAAAGATAACTTGTAGAGTAGGGCTGGAGGTTGGACTTGATGATCCCAAGGGTCTTTTCCAACCTGAATGATTCTGTGTTTCTATGATTCTAAGGAATGAAAAGTAATTAAAAAAAAAAAAAATTAGTTGGTAGGGTAATAAGGAATTTTTCTCTTAACATTTTCTCATCTCTCCCTGTTTTTTGGGTGTTTTTTTTGGTTAAAAAATGCTTCTTTAGCCATAACAGCTTGTTTACAAACCATACTTCTCTTTCTACTGGAAATTCACAAGCACTGTATGTTTATTGTCTAAGAAGGCATAAGTCAGTTGTCAGTGGGAGTTATGTAAAGCTGATACTGGTTTCCCCAAAATGAACTGGTCTTTGGAGTGACTTCAGGATCTGAATTTTTTAATGGAGGAGGGGTTTTCATCTGAACTCTACAGTTTTATAGAGCTATTTAACTTTGAAGTCACACTAGTTATATTCTCAGGATTAAGTTCATTCTTGACATCCTTCTAGGGAATAATACTTAGACTTCTAGTCTGAAGTATTGTAAAGTTGTGATCCCTTCTGCTGAAGACTTTTAGTTTTTTCTTTTCACAACAATGGTGACTAAAGAACAGAAAACCTTCATCCAGGGAGTGGGAAGAGTTGAGTAGTATCTTGTCCCAGTGCTTACCTCTTCTAGCAGTAGATTCCAAGATCAAATGTTTCTTTTACCATACTTGCACTTTATTTCAACAGTAGTGCAGAATCTTAATACGGTAATGGGAAGAAAAAAAATAGAGTTATGATGAATAACACTCATACATTCTCTATTTTTCTGTCAAGCAGTTTGTCCAGGCTCTGGCCTCTCTCTGTTTGGAGTACACTCCAGTGTGTGAAAAACTTTGAGAACTTATGTCCCACAGCAGTAGGGGGAAAACATTTTGTGATGTACAGTGCCTTCTGACTTTTGTGGAAGGTAAAATAGAAGGCAATTAAGTGTCAGGAGTAAACTGAAGTTTCTGTTTTATGGTAGATAAAGTTCTTGCGTAGTTGTCAAGTTCTGTATGGTTACTTGCTGCTAGAAGAATTACAGTGCTTCAAGTGTATAGGGATGTTTCTCTGTCTTTCCTAGTTCCATTCATGATTTGAAGTGTACAACATTGTGTAGTATTTGCTTCAGTTGCTAAGGGCATCAGGGGATCATTTGCTTCAATATTTTAACTTTTGCATAATTGATTTTATGCCTTTATGAATGCTCTAAACCCTACAAGAGCTTGTAAAGCAATTATTTTTTCCATAAGAAGAGTGGAGAAGCTTAAATTCCAGATTGGGACCCAAAACGATAAGCCCGTTTTTTCAGCACACTTGCCATGCCCATCTTCTGGAATTCCTTTGTCACAATTGAGGTAACCTTATAATTTGTCTTCCTGCATTTTTTCTCTACATCATATATGTTCTATATGCTCTGGCTGGTAATATGAGACAGTATTTGTACTTTAATATAGCAACATTTCAAACTCCAATGTAGAAACAGTTTATGTTTTTTGGCACAAGCCCCTCTGGGTTGATCTTATGTCTTGTGCAGTCAAATTTCAGCTTTATAAAGAAGTTTGCTAAATGCTTCATCTTAATCCATGTATTAATTCTCCTTTCTCATCTGATTCAAGCAGTGATGAAGCTTCTGCCAAGTGTTACGCTCCTGTGCAAGGAGATGATCTTACTGTTAAGTTTATTGTTTTACTGACGGTGTAAGAGAACTCTTGAGTTTCAAAGTAGATGAGTAACTTGAAATCATTCTTATTGAGATACCAAGTCCCTCAGAGCTTATGTTAATTCTTCATGATGTTATGTTTAAACTTCTGTAGCCTTTGACTTATTAGCTAAATATATTGGGAGAAAGAGTTTAGGAAAAAATTAATCTGAAACAGTTGTGCTGTTACATTTATCTGGTAGGTGCACCAGAAGCCAAAGCAGAAAAAGAAGTCTTGCTGTGTTGAAAAGCCACTTTGTATTCCAGAGGAGATAGAATAGAAAGAACAAATTGATACTAATAGATATTAATGACCTTTTAGGATTAAGCAAACAGTGTAGAAAATACACAAGGCAAAATTCATGTGCAGATAATTTCAGTCTTTTTATATCTGAGGCTCAAGAGGCGTGGTGTTGGTTTGATATGAGATTGAAATGTTAAAATTATTATTGGTGTAGAAAACATGGAGACATTCATCAAGTAATTGGGAAGAAAT